AGAATGGTCATTTCTGGCTAAGGAGCCGGACCCAATTGATGCACGGTTCGAGCCTTGAACTCGCAACCATTTCGAGCAAAGTCTCACGCCCTAAATATTGAGCCACGAGCGGGAAAATTCAGTTCTGTTAGTGGTCGGTGAACGTTCATCAACTAGTGTCAATATCTCCCGACTTAAACACACACCGAGCTCCTGGCTCACTCGTTAGGGCGTTTGACTCGGATCAAAAACTTCGCGAGTTCGAGGCTAAGGTGGGACGCCACGTGAGTATGGTTATGACTGGCTGACGACGGCTAATAAGCCATAAATGGCCATTCCAGTCTCCCCTGTCTTTGTCGGCAATATTATCTGCCTATACTAATAGATGCTACAGCAGCCGTCAGGACCCGAAAAATAATTTCCGAGACAAAGGCGTTTTTAAGACTAGCACTGCGCATAAAAAACGGAGCTGGAGAATTCAACAAATTTAGATGCTCCCTTCAACCTAATGTGACCATACGCCCGGCCTACAATAGCTCCTTGTTGAAGTGGATTTTATGACCACTTCATCGGCGGGTGTCGGATTGGACTCAGTACTTTTACTCTCCCTCTCATGGCCTAAATTTGTCCTGTTCTTGTAATTATTTGAGCGGTAGAGGTCGCATCAGTCGCCACTGTCTCCGACTGACGCACTGACTATTTGTTACAAACTACCGAAAGTTGCATTCATAAGCAGAGAAAATAAAATGGCGTTATACCCTTGTCCAAATTCACAATAAATACTTTAAATCTCACTTGTTGACTAGTAGAAGCAATAGAGTCAGGAAGGCGTAATAACGTAGGTGTTCGTCGTTGGGCAGGGCGATGGGAAGTAGCCATTCTACAGCGTGCTGTTTAACCAGCTGGATCTGGCTGGCTTCGCCACCATGAATTGTCAAGTTAGCCAACGCAAAAACGGCGTGTTTCAGGGTCTCCGGATCCTCTGAACGGCATGCATAGATTAGACTCTCAAGGCCACCCGAGCAGATCACGGAGTGACACACATCCTCTGCTTGCTTTGACAGATCTGCAAGTAAATGGGCATGACTTCGTAGTCTATTTCAATATAATTACAAAGACTACTTAAGCATAATTAGTAGCAATAATTAAAGGATACATTACTTTCAAGTATCGCGATATACTCGCGGCTGAGATCAGCGTCCTTCTTGGCCGAACGACTCTGTTGAACGACCGTCTCTACAAGGTGTCGAAGGAGGTCCTTTCGATGTTTCCTGTGCTGCGATGCATTGTGTTTACTTTTCGGTTCATCCTCTGGATTCAGAATATTTTCTGATGGCGGCAGTGAGGTCCTAATGACTTGATCCAGGTCAGAATGGCAAATGATCTAGAAAGAAAGATGGTGAGCACGTTAATTCACATTGGCACACTGTAGGGAATGATATGAAATGAACCTTACCGACGTACCATAGCCGATACTCTGGCAGTAAGTGCACAACATGACTGAAAGGGTGATTTGCTGCCTAGTAATGTTTGTATCGCCTCCTAAACGTGCATCCAGAAGTCTGAAGATGCATTTGTGCATACGGCTGATCAATTCTGCATGTTTTAGCTGCGAATAAACTTCACAGTAACGTAGAATACATAGAATTTTGGTGTTCGGAGGGCACTAAAGGTCACCCAGTGATTTCGGGTCCGAATTGATCCACAGACAGAAGCAAAAGAAATGGTCATCACACAATTTGTCCCTTGGATGACTTAAATAGGATAAATTTAGCTAAAACCCTTTTTTTAGCGTTTAAGCGAAACTGAATATGTTCACTGACTTTTACTGATTGCTGGACACATTAAGAAGCGATATCGTTGGTCTAGCTTTGATCGCCAGATGATTTTATATGAGCAGTAAGTGAGGAGAGCGTTTCCATGAACTAGTTTTTGTAGGACAGTTTGCAGTTTTTAGCTGGTAGACAGTCTGCATCGTTTTGTGATTAATCAAAACGGGGCTCGGGGACGACTTAAACTGGCCACAAAAAAATTCAAGCACTTTGAAACTGGATGCCCAGATTTTCCGGAGCCTCAGATGGTCTGGCCACTGGGTATCAGAGGTCCTGTGGTAGGAACAATTAGGCGACCGGCTAACTCTGTAGACACTCTGGTACGTGTTCACCATTCGCAAGTTTCTGCCGAAGCAACCGAAGCCCCCTTACCTGCTTCCCTCATTTTAGAAGGTTAAATGAAACTGACAGACAAGAGGGCCAATGGAACCGGTTATTTTTTGTGAACTATTCGCCTAAATTCCCACTTCGGTTAAGATCTGCCCGTGTAGCACATGCAGCAAGGCAAATTTAGCTGTTTGCCCTCCGTGCTAAGCTGAGGGACTAACATGTACACTATTGGTCGAAAATAATCCTAGTCTTCTCTGCGCGCGACAGAGATTATCCTAAAAAATACCCGTACGTGCAGTACCAATTTTTATCGACTCGTAGATCACAGACCAGCTTGGTGAAGATGTCATGCCTTACTGTAGATTTGTTTTTAGGCGAGCATGCTTTCTCTAAAGTTTTCCCTTTGGGAAAGAAAGTGTTTCGGTCCGGAGAGAGTGAATATTTGGCAGAATATCCGAGGCGTTTGGAGGATCATCCATTGATCCGTATATTGAAATAAGGGCAGACCAAGATAGCTAAGTAAGAGGAGAAGAAATTCATTGACAAAGTGGAAATTTTGATGCGTAAATTGTCAAGATTCTTCCCCCAGCTCGTCGCTAGGTTAAGAGCTGTGTAAAAAACAATTAATTAATTAGCTGTGTTTAAAAAGAATTCTGAAATTTGACGACGTTTCTGCCAATACGCATTACGTGTATTTGGGCATAAAAAATGAACGTTACGCAGATTGGCGCAGACATCGCCTAACTGGAGAATCCTTTGTTAAACAAGCTTAATTAGTTTATTGCATTTGTACACATCCTCTGGCCCAACGACAACCCGAGGGGTTAGTTTAGAAAAGTTACAAATTAAAATTTCTCTTTTCCCAATTAATGTCTTCTCGCCTTACTTGATCATTCTAGGCTACCCGTATTTCAATGTATAGATAATCATCTGCAGATATACAGTCCGGCCTAGAATTCGTGCAACATGCAGACATATGCGAAAGATGTACTGTAAAAAGCGTCTACATAAGCAGTATGCATTTTTAACATGGATTTTGACTGCCCTTATGAATTCAAATATATTTTATATAAAGAATATACGAAAAATTATTTCCTGTACTCGTTTGGTAGAAAATTATGCTTTCTTTAAATTTTATACTTAAAGAACGGATATCTTTCAGTTCTTAAAAAATATCTCTAATTAGGAGCTTTTCTATGATTTTGAGTTGTTCATTCATTATACGTCATATCCCTCAATTTATTAACGCTGCCTAAAATTTATACAGCATGTTTCACATCCGTTGCAACATTTTATGGGAACAATGTAACTTCTTTCTCAAGCCGTAGGCGAAAACGCACTTTTACTTAAACAGGATAAACACACCTTGAATGCAAGTGTAGCAGTCAGTAGGTTTCAAAATTATTTGGCAATTAAGAAATTTTTCAAACACCATAAGATGCTCTATCTTTAAGTATAAATCTAAAGAAGGCATAACTTGCTACCAAATGAGTACAAGAAATAATTTTTTTGTTTATGCTTTCTATAATATATATTTGAATTTATAAAGGCAGTCAAAGTCAATTATTATAATGCATACTTATTAGGTAGCCGTTTTTACAGACATACTTTTTGCTACCGGTCAGAAAGAAATTCGCTCAATAGCTGGCATCCAATCATGACTGGAATGGCTTTACAGTAGGCTTCACGATAATCAGTACTACAACCTTACTGAATACCGACTAGCGAAAGAGTATCAATCTTTCACATATATCGGCATGTTGCACGAATTCGGAGCCGTACTGTATACTACTCGTAAGACCTTAGTTTTTGTGTAGCTTTACTCTTTTCAACTTAACGATGGCTGCTCGCTTTTTTGCTCGCAGTTATGTCAATAACCTCTTTTTTGGATTTGTCTTCTGCATCTATACATTTCCTAGCCATTTTATTACCAATAGAAAGATCAAAGGCGTTCGTCTATCCTTCCCTTAGTAAAACTCAACTGAACTGAAATTCTGAGCAACCCATGCAGAGCTCATTTGGATATATTTCTATCTACATGATTTGCAGGATAACGTGTTGGATAGCTTTTACGTGTTAGGACAAGAAACGGGTCCCCTTAATTTAAGGCCACCCGCGATCCACGTTAATTCAGACGTTGAGAGTCCCGGTAAAACGAGCGAATAACGTGGTATCTGCACTGTTACAATTACACAAACCCCCATTGGCGGATAATGCGAACACCAATCAGCGTGCAAGGTCTATCGAGAATATGCGAAGGAAATGCTAGAGGTTGCAGTGCAGTGAC